CAGTGTGAATCGAGGGGCTCAGGAGAACGGCACCGGCCAGGCCACCTCCAGAAACGGCCATTCAGCAAGACAACATGTGGTGGCTGATACCGAATTGTGACTCAGCTTGGGAGGGCAAGGCTGGGCAGTGTCTGGGAAAGCAGCTCCTCCCTGCATCTGACCACGTGCTGCCTCCATGCTGGAGGTGACATCCCTTTGTCCAATCCTTTCCCACTGTGCACACCTCAGGGGGGCTGTCTTGGGACCCTCCCTGGGGCAGAGGCAGGTAAACTCCCACCCTTTATGCATTCAGCGCCTTAAACCCTGTTCTTCTTTGGGTAAAGATGTGATGGGGACAAGCTAAGGTCCAGAGAATCTCCCAGGAAGGGTTGATGGCCTTGTGGTGTTGGCACATGGACCCCTTTCCCCTCCTCCCCTCCTCTCTGCTGAATTGCAGGAGCCCCCAGGGGAAAGGATGGGCTTTTTTAGGTCATCATTTCCTCCCAGGAGGCTTTGATTTCTACTGCTTTGATTTTTAGTTTCTCACCTATATTTTCTTTCTCTACTTCAGGGAAATCAAAGTAACTCTTATACCTCCTGCTCCCTCGTAACAATATAGCCAAAAGAATATGTTGTCTTAAACCACTTCCCTTATCCCTCCTGCAAGACACTGTGGACTTGGTCACTAGCCCCCCTTGTTCTCCAAGTTTCACCAAGCTCCAAGTGTCCCCCTCTTCAGGGGCACACGTACAGTTTTCTGGCTGGAGCCTGGAACTGGCTTCTGAGTTTTAGACCAACAGCTTAGTCCTGTCTTCTCTGGGGCCACACAGAGACTCTCTCTTTTTCTCCCTCTGAGTCCAATGGACAGTACCATGGGACCAGATCTTTGAGCCAGGCCTCTTGCCCTGTGCTTTTCTGAGAAACCCTCTTATTCTGAGGCTAGGTCCCAGCCTTATCCTCTGATTGACCCCCGACTCCTGGGTTGAGCTGTGGCCTCAGTCCCCCAGCAGACTCCTGTCTGTCACTGTCTCCCTGCAACCAACCTCTTCATTGCTCTGTACCCTGTAGGCTCTGAGCCCCAGGGCACCTCCTAAGGATGCTTACCACAAGCCGCCCCTTCTGTGGGTGAGCCAGGTCCTTGATTGTTGCGGTCGTTTTTTTCCAGAGGTATGGGCCGGAATCCTGGTTTCAATGACGGTTGGAAATAGAACTTTCCAGAGATGAAAGGATTGGGTGAATTTTTTTTTTTCTCAATAAAAAGTGGTGTGGGTAAATACTGTAATTAAAGTGATGCTGAAACACCATCTGTTCTATGGCTCCATCTTAGCTGGGTGTGTCTGAATGCAAGAGTGGTCTCTCCATCAAACTGGGCTATGCAGTGATGTGAGAAGCAGGGGCTAGCCAGGCCAGACCCCCTCAGCAGACACAGGTCCCACTGAGGATGCTGAAGACCTTCATCTAAGTCTGACAACTGCTCCTCTCCGTGGGAGAGGTGGAGAGGCTTCCAGAAAAGCTGGATGTTTCCAGTGGTAGGAAGAAAGGCAAGCCCAATTGCAGTCTTAGGATGGAGGGTGGTGTATTGGGGCCCTGTGGGCTGCATCCTTCACAGACACCCTTCTGAGAAGAGAGACGTGCTGGTCACTGCTTGCAAAACAGGCAAAGCAAAGGGAAAGAGCAATGCCTTATCACCCTCTATTATTAGACTGCCCCCTCCCCAGGTCAGAGCAGCACAGTGAAGGACTACGTGGGGACTGTTGTTCTGAAGATCTAGCTACTGACTCCAGGAGGGGGCTGGTTTCTACCCTCAAGATTTATAAAGCAGCCTAACTGCAAAAAAAAAAAAGAGGAAAAATTTGTAAGCACTTACCTCCCCTCAGCTTCCAGATGTCCCCACAGCCCTATCCTGCCACAGAAAGTGGGGGAATGAGTACTGACATTACCGAGTCACTCTAGGAAACACACCCAAGTATGGCAACAGAGGCAGAAGAGGTTGAGGCAAACAAAGGTTGATTCTTCTGATCTTATCTCACAAGAGCCAGACCTTGCTCTTTAGCACTCCCGCCCCCATCTCCTCCATGCTTTTCTCCAACTTCCTTTTTTTAGAGACAGAGTTTCACTTTATTGCCCTCAGTAGAGTGCTGTGGCATCGCACAGCTCACAACAACCTCCAACTCCTGGGCTTAGGTGATTCTCTTGCCTCAACCTCCCAAGTAGCTGGGACTACAAATACCCACCACAACGCCTGGCTATTTTTTGTTGCAGTTTGGCCGGGGCCGGGTTTGAACCTGCCACCCTTGGTATATGGGGCCGCATCCTACTCACTGAGCCATGGGCGCTACCCTTCTCCAACTTCTTTAATTGGAGGTTCATCCTCAGGACTTTGGGGGAGATAAAGAGATGAGATCTAGAGTCTTCCCTAGAAGGTTTGGCTGGCTTGGTTATATCAAGGGAAGATGGTTAACGGGAAAGGTGAATCCAGGTGGCCTGCATCTAGTAGCACATCTTGCTGTGCGAGTGTCCAGAAGCAGGTCTGGCCCAGGCAGGGACATCAGGGAAAGGGATGGGAATGGAGTACAGACTCCATGGAAACGTGGGATCTTGCCACAGACCACCACTGCCTGTGTGAGCAGAGAGGGTCTTGCCCTCCACACAGGAAAGAATTCAAGCCCAGAGCACGAGTGAGAGAAAGAACAAACAGGAGGTGCAGGAAGGAGTAAGAAGATTTATTGAAAGCAGAGTACAATCTCAAGGCAAAGAACGGGTTGAAGCAAGAAGGAACAGTGTCACCCCAGGGTTAGGGTCAACCCTAATTATATGCTAACCTGGGGGTAGAATATCCATGGATTTTTCTGGGAAAAGGGTGAAGATGTCATTCTTAAATCCTTAAATCCTAGAACTGGGAATCCTCCCCTTTGCTTGACCTTATCAGGTAACTTCTGGGAGTTGTCATGGCATTTGTAAACTGTTATGGTGCTGGTGAGCGTGATTTTTACTGTGCTAATGAGGGTCCTTCATTTAGGGGCACTATTGCCTCAATTTCAACATGGGCATACTCCCATTAAAGGAATCCACCCTTTTATCTTATGCAAAGATGTTATGGCTAAGGTAAAATAACTAAAGGATCTCTACGGGCCACATTTATTTTAGCTAAGCCTATTCACATTCTTGTGACTTTCTTATCCTATTGGCCTTTCCCTTCTGAACTGTGCCCTCTGCCCTAACTGCCTTCAGGGTATCTGACTCCTTTCTCAGTGGTAGGAGGAGAAAAGGCAACTGAGTCTTGGTAATATCTCCAGTCTCAGGCCTGCAACCTGCAATACCATTTCACCTGAGTTAGTTGGAATATGTATGTAGGCTTTGGGAGGAAAGGGTGTATGTGTGTTGGAGGGTGGCTCCTGGTTCCCTGCGATGCTGGATAGTTGGCCCTGATGTACTTCACTTGCTTTCTAGAAAATCAAACTTTTCCACCGTAGGCCTGCTCACTCTGGGTGCAGCACTGGCTCCACCTGCTGGCCTTGAGGAGCTCCTACTGCTCAGCGGTTAATTCAACTGCCTCCATGTTGGTTTTCTGTCTCAGCTGCTGCGTCCTCAACAGTCTAGTCCAATTTCTCTCATGCACAAAGCTCATATAATTGTACAAAGTCACTACTGGTTAGAACTTTAGAACTACATTCAATTCAACTTGCTTATAAGTACGGTTAACTAAAGCCCAGAGAAGGGATATGGGCTTCCCAATCACCCTGAATTCATGTGTCCTGAATCCGATGCTTTTTCCCTGGTCTTCTTATCCTACTTTCTGCTGGGGTCTCTGGGTTTCTCCAATCAGATGTCACGAAGCCTGTGTGGCAGTGTCAGGAGAGGTTTGGGACTTCCCCTGAGCAGCATTTCATCAACATACGGTCTTCCAGACCTTATCAGCCAACCAGGTCCTGCAGGATCCTAGGTATAAAGATTGCCGAAGGTCATGCCCACAGTCAGCCCAGGAGAATTACATTTATGAAAAGTGTGCCTGGAATCATCTGCTGCCAGATTTTCATCTAAATGAATAGATAGCAGTATCCTCTAAGTCTGGATAAATAGATCAACACCATCCCGTTCCTTCTAGGTAGATTGATCCCACACTTCCTCTTCACCCAGACCCAGAAGAGGGAAGAAATGTCCTCTTAAGCTGTGCAGCAGGGTGGTGCTTCTGTTCCTAAAGCCCCCTTTGAGGAGTTCTCAGCCACCATCCAATCATTCAACAGTCTTACTGAACATCTATGCCAGACATTGTTCTAGAGACCAAGTATAGAAGAAATACTCATGGATCTTGGAATTCTAGCAGAGGAGAAAGACAATAAACTATTTTATTTATGTAAACATATGCATATGCCTTCAGGTCAGCTTAAGAGCTGTGACAAATGTAAAATTAATGAGAGTATTTTCCATGTGGTGGCTCCTCTTAAAACAGTGGCTAACCAATGGGGTGAGGGTGGGGTGTGTGTGGATCAGATCAGGACTGTTTCTTTTTGTTGCTGTTGTTTTGCAGTTTGGCCGGGGCTGGGTTTGAACCCTCCACCCTCGGTATATGGGGCCGGCACCCTACTCACTGAGCCATAGGTGCTGCCCAGGACTGTTTTTGCATGTTGTATTATCCCACTTAAACAGATGTACATTAAAAAAAAACTTCCATGAAGTCAGTCCCTGACCTCCCCTGACCCCATTGGTTAGAGACTTTAAAAAAGTAACAGGTGAGAATATAGATTCACTGGAATGAAATGAAGAAGCAAGTTGTGTTCCAGGCTGGAAGAGATCATCCCAGACTGCACAGAAGAAATGTCAACTGCAGAACCCGGTGATGCAAACCCTGTGAGTGCAGAAAGCTCTGTAGGAGGGAGGGTAAGAAGGCCAGGGGCTGTGTCAGTGAGTAAGGCGGGGAAGGACAGAAAGGAGACCAGGCCATATGAGGCCTTGTAGGAGAAGGCTGGGAAGCTGCTGGAGAGTTTTGAGCAGAGAAGTCATATAATCTATTTTATGTTTTGAAAGGATCATTCACATTGCTGAGACGAGACTAGAGGTAGAGGAACAAGAGAATAGAAGGAAGGACACCAGGCGGACTATACTGACAGTTTCAAGAGAAACAGTGTTGACTGGGAGTAGGTGATAATATTGGTAGTGGTGAGATGAAGCAGAATTAAAAGATGTTTTGAAGGTAGAGCTAACAGGACACGCACAGTCCATTTATTCCTTCAAATCACAATCACAGTAACAATGATAGTAGCTGACACTTATTGAATTCTTACTGTATGGAAATTGAGATGCCCTACCAACATTTAAGTAGCGTATTTTACTTAACATTCACAGGAAGTCTAAAAGTGGGTACTGTTATCTCTGTAAAAAAAAAAACCCTGAACCTCAGAGAGGAATAAGGGACTGTGCTAGATACCCAGTGGATAAGGCAGAAAGGAGTTAGATGCAAGTTTATTAGAACCCACAGTTTTTAAATCTTGGAGAAAATTCAAGTACATTC